GTTTTCCATCCGTTCGCTTTTCTTCCATTCAAAAAAATGGATATTTAACGAATGTAAACAGATCATCTGCTTACATCTGCTAGTCCATAGAAATACATGGGTGTCCATTTTTCATCTGTAAACAAACAGATGAAAAATGGACATACGGAACGCCCCTGTGAAAGGGGCCTTTTATTAAAGTGAAAAATCAGATGGAAAAAAATCATCATTATAATGTTAACATTGCAAGTATAAATTTTACCAATTATGTATCGGGTTTAGTGACCAGTAATATCACTTAACTCTGTGCCTGTACATTCACAATGACATTGTAAGGAAATAATATGTTAAATAACAATTGATTTATTACAACATGGAGCTCAGGAGTCGTCCGACAAGCATATGGGGGGTTGCGCCAACCATCTGTCCCAAACTTTATTGCATTTAGCGGGTCAACCTCTATGTACATAAATCAGTTTTTTTTTTATAAGGTAGGGTAGAATTCATCTCTCTTACCCAGGTATTAAACGTAGGAGTGGTTGTCTGTATCCAGTTGCGTGCAATCACTTTTCAGGCAATAAATAAAGGGATGCACAGTAACCGGTGAGAATTAAACATATATTAGCTTTCAGCTGTCTGCTAGCTCTATATGTTTTGAAAGATGTTTATTGATTGCTGAGGATTGCCACAGCATAGGTTTTTGCAACACATTAACTGTTTAGCCAATATATTTTTTCAGAGTAGTTTGAAATGTGATTAAGCCTTTTTTCAGACATCTTAAAGGGACACTCTAGTCAACCAGATAAATGTTGCATTTAGGCTCACTTAAAGTGCACTACCTGTTAAATGACTTTACTTTTCATTCTGACATTCCTATTATGCAGCCCACTGCCACAATTCAGCTATTATGCTTAAATTCAAGCCACAAATGGCAACGATTTTTGACCTGGTGGGTATACTAGGTTCAGTGGTTGGTATTATTATGTTTTTGAATTGCTGTGACCGCTCTGATTGAAGGGAATTGACATTAATAAAAAGTAATAATCCTCCAGTTTCCTTAACCACTTCCCGTCTGGCCCATGTACATAAACGTCCGGACAGGAGCAGTGCAGAAGCGGGTTGCCGCTTATAAACTGGCATTCACTGCCTGTGTACACTCCCTGGGAGCACATAGCAGAACACCAATCGCTGTACGGGACCTCTGTGTCAGTTCCCGATTCATGTGATCTCTGATTGGCCAATCAGTGATCACATGAATAGTAATAAGCAAGATGTCACTTCCTGACATCATTTCCTACTACTTGTGAAATCTGTGAATGATCACAGAGGTCACTGGCTGCAAGAATGCAGTCAGAGAGAAGGAGAAATTATTGCTTTTACAACCTGTATGGGTGTAAAAGCAATCAATGTAAAAAAAACAAAAATCTTCATCACCCCCCACAAGTAGTACAGTATCACCGTGGTGACACTGTACTGCTAGGGTGACAGTATATTTAAAAAAACATAAATAATATAAAACAATAATAAAAAAGTAAAAAGAAATTTTGAAAAACTATAATTTTTGGTTATAAACTAATTTTGTTTTATTTTGTTTTGCTAAAAAGAAAACTGAATACATTTTGACCAATATTTATGAAGAAAGATTATTTTTTTTTGCAAAATTTTATAAGAAAAACACTTTTTTTTCAAAATTTTTGGACTTTCTCATTTATATAGCAAAAAAAAAATCCCTGTGGTGAATGAATACCACCAAAATAAAGCTTTATCTGTCTCAAAAAAATGCTAAAAAATTAATATGGGTACAGTGTTGCATGACCGCGCAATTGTCATTCAAAGTGTGATAGCACTGAAAGCTGAAAATTGGCCTGGACAGGGAGGGGGTGAAAGTGTCCAGACTTGAAGTGGTTAATAAATGGTTTATGCAAATTTCAGCTATTGCCTGTGGTTTCTAGTATCATTATCATCTGAATCATACTGAATATTCAAGCCAGATATTTCTAGGCTTGGCTAGGCTGCTATACTCTGTAGTTCCAAGGCAATCTGTACAGCACATGAGACCAAAGTTCCAACACTGTCAAAAAGCCTGGCCAAGTCTGGCACCTTAAAATGTTTAGTGAACTCTCTGGAAGGCTAAGCTGACAAATGTTGATATTTATCGAGTAGAGAGCATTAGCAATTCACTGATTTTGCTTCTTGTCTGGGGTGGCACTTTACATAAAAGTATCCCTATTGTATCTATCAGATTGTACTGTAGTCATGAGCTACAATTTTAACTACTTGACCTCTGGAAAGTTTTACCCCCTTCATTACCATGGCATGATTTACTATTCAGTACTGCAATACTTTAACAAACAATTGCTCGGTCATGCAGCACTGTACCCAAATTAAAGTTATAATTTTTTTTTCACACAAAAGAGAACTTTCTTTTGGTGGTAATTGATCACCACTGGGTTTATTCTTCCTTTTTTTTTTAATAATAAAGAAAGACCGAAAATTTTGAAAAAACACCCCAGTATTCTCTACTGTCTGGTTTAGAACATATCCAAGCAAAAAAGAAAATTTCTGCATACATTTAGGTCAAAATGTATTCTGCTACATGTCTTTGGTAAAAGAAAAAACCCAATAAGTATATATTAATTAGGTTTGTGCAAAAGTTATAGCGTATACAAAAGATGGTATGCAGTATATACTGGTATTTACAGAGCTATGATGCTATACTGGTAATGGTGGTGATCAGCAACTTACAGTGGGAATTTGATAGTGTGGCAGGCAATCTGATTCTAACAGACCCTTTCTGGGAGGTACACTAACTGACACTGACATCAGTAGTGACACTAATACAGTGATCAGATATAATACTGTACACTGACTGGAAAGGGGTTAACATCAAGGTGCAGTCAAAAGGGTAACTGTGTACCTAACAAGTGTAATGTGTGTAATATGCGCTGTTTTTACTTACAGTTCTATCTGGTTTTACTCCTGCTTTGCAGGGATATAAATCAGCCAGATTGCTGATCTGTGTACAGAGCCCTGTGTTTGTAAACATAGGACAATATGTTGTCATTGGCTAAGCCAATCAGCAGGTCTCAACCACAATTTATTGGCCGGGACCTGCTGATAAAATCCCGATGTAGCCAGTGACACCAGTGGTTAGCAGTGGGGCAAACATGCGCGTCCCAAACCCTAAACAGGCTGGATGACATATATGTACTGTGTGGGCGGGAGCTGGTTAACAGCAGTTTTTACAGCACCTCCATTTGTTAGTGGAAACTGAAATCATGCTGCTACAGTATGGGGGGGAGGTGGTTAATGAGCAACATTGTACTTGAATGATGCAGACTGACTAACAGTGTAATCAGTGACAGAGGGGTAACTAATGCGCTATACATGTATTTTGTGAATAAATAACATTTCTAACCATATGGAAGTGCCCCCCTTACATCAGTCTCCACAGAGTCCCCCCCTTACATCAGTCTCCGCAGAGTCCATCAGTTTCCGCAGTGTTCCCCCCTGACATCAGTCTCCGTGGAGTTCCCCCCCTCAGTCTCCGCGGAGTTCCCCCCTGACATCAGTCTCCGCGGAGTTCCCCCCCCTGACATCAGTCTCCGCGGAGTTCCCCCCTGACATCAGTCTCCGCGGAGTTCCCCCCTGACATCAGTCTCCGCGGAGTTCCCCCCTGACATCAGTCTCCGCGGAGTTCCCCCCCTGACATCAGTCTCCGCGGAGTTCCCCCCCCCTGACATCAGTCTCCGCGGAGTTCCCCCCCTGACATCAGTCTCCGCGGAGTTCCCCCCTGACATCAGTCTCCGCGGAGTTTCCCCCCTGACATCAGTCTCCGCGGAGTTCCCCCCTGACATCAGTCTCCGCGGAGTTCCCCCCTGACATCAGTCTCCGCGGAGTTCCCCCCCTGACATCAGTCTCCGCGGAGTTCCCCCCTGACATCAGTCTCCGCGGAGTTCCCCCCTGACATCAGTCTCCGCGGAGTTCCCCCCCTGACATCAGTCTCCGCGGAGTTCCCCCCTGACATCAGTCTCCGGAGTTCCCCCCTGACATCAGTCTCCGCGGAGTTCCCCCCTGACATCAGTCTCCGCGGAGTTCCCCCCCTGACATCAGTCTCCGCGGAGTTCCCCCCCCTGACATCAGTCTCCGTGGAGTTCCCCCCTGACATCAGTCTCCGCGGAGTTCCCCCCTGACATCAGTCTCCGCGGAGTTCCCCCCTTACATCAGTCTCCGCGGAGTTCCCCCCCTTACATCAGTCTCCGCGGAGTTCCCCCCCTTACATCAGTCCGGAGTTCCCCCCCTTACATCAGTCTCCGCGGAGTTCCCCCCCTTACATCAGTCTCCGCGGAGTTCCCCCCCCTTACATCAGTCTCCGCGGAGTTCCCCCTTTTGCCCACATTACCATCAAAGTTCCCAGCTTTAATCAGGGTTTCTAGAGCCCACAGAATTTTCACTTCCACTGTAAGGGTGATCTCTGTAGACTCTGGAATGTAAAGGAGAACTCTGATTTAAGGGGGCTCTGATATAAGGTTGAATGCTGTGGACTCTGTTGTAAAGGGGAACTCTGATGTAATGGGGTCTATGCTCACCAAAGCCCCCCTTACATCAGAGCCCACAAAGCACCCCTTACATCAGAGCCATCTCTCTCTCTCTCGTCACCCATTAGTGAGGGGGGGACCTGTTAGCGTTGGCTCTGGGTTGCCTGTGAGAGAAACTCTCACCTCAGAGCCCTGCAGCCAGAAACACTGCTGGGAAGGTACAGTCCAGGCTCTTGGGCCCCTCCCCACAGTGGCAGAACTCCAGGGCCCCGTCGCAAGTGTGACCTTTGTGACTCTGGTAGTCCTGCCATTGATCAGTGCCATACTGCAAGCTGAACAGACTTAAGCTAGCCATACTGCTTACTCCATCCTGTTCAGAGTGGGTGGAGGAATCTGCACTACCAGCTATTGTATTCAAGCAGTCGCAGCACCATGCTGTAAATATGACCTGAAAACACATTCTTCCTGTCTCTTTTTCCCCAGAGGACTTTATTGGATCTGGATCACCACGTGTTTCAAATATTGAGAAGTTTAGAATATCTTCAGCTGCCATTCCAGCCCTTAATGTGCAAAGCAGTGCTGAGGAGCCAAACCTACAGTGCAAAGAAACTGTTTGTGTGACAAGCCCCTCTGAGAGCAGTGAAAGCATCTCCCCAATCACTCAGATTGACAATCCTGCTTACCATGGACCCAAAGCTCCAGCTGAATCCTCTGCCATTCCATCTGAAGTAGCTGATGAGCTACAAGATGACAAATCAGAAGTGAACTTAGTCCTAGTCTCCGAGGAACATTCAGTGGCCAAAGTCAATACACAGAGCTCCATTCGAAAAGAAGAACAGCCCTCTGATCTTCGTGTTTTTGAACTTAACAGTGACAGTGGCAAATCAACACCTTCTAACAATGGACAGAAAGGTGAACCTAGCAAAACATTTATTTGGAGTTATATCATGAATATAGCCATGTAGCAGACTTCTGTTTTAAGTAATTCTCAGTTACCTATTCAATTCACTTTTTGTGGTCTTTGATTATGCACTGGAGGGGTTCAGTTAAACAATTTTCATCTCTACTCTCAGGGTCCAGTACGGACGTCAGTGAGGATTGGGAGAAGGACTTTGATATGACAGAAGAGGAGGTACAGCTGGCCTTGTCTCGTGTAGAGGTGTCTGGAGAGGTGGGTGTATATTTCCAGATATTGTTGGGACATCGGTGTCTGACACTGCTTTTGTATATGGAAAGTAGTTTGACAAGAGGAAAGTGATTAGTTCTTACAGACTAATATAAAAGAACACACAGACTTATTTCACGTGTCATTTTCACATTTCATAGATTCAAGGTAGTATAATGTAGTTAACATTGGATTTGCTTTTTAAAAGCTATACTTATGTGGGCTGTAAAATATATTGTGCTAAGTGCTATATATTTATTTTTTTATGTTATTGTATTACAAAAATACCACAGATTACAAATGCCCATTGTTCAAATACAGTGGGGCAAAAAAGTATTTAGTCAGCCACCAATTGTGCAAGTTCTCCCACTTACAAAGATGAGAGAGGCCTGTAATTGGCATCATAGGTAGACCTCAACTATGAGAGACAAAATGAGAAAAAAAATCCAGACAATCACATTGGCAGATTTGGAAAGAATTTATTTGCAAATTATGGTAGAAAATAAGTATTTGGTGAATATGAAAAGTTCATCTCAATACTTTGTTATATATCCTTTGTTGGCAATGACAGAGGTCAGACGTTTCCTGTAAGTCTTCACAAGGTTGGCACACACTCTTGCTGGTATGTTGGCCCATTCCTCCATGCAGATCTCCTCTAGAGCAGTGATGTTTTGGGGCTGTCGCTGGGCAACACGGACTTTCAACTCCCTCCAAAGGTTTTCTATGGGGTTGAGATCTGGAGACTGGCTAGGCCACTCCAGGACCTTGAAATGCTTCTTACGAAGCCACTCCTTCGTTGGCGGTATGTTTGGGATCATTGTCATGTTGGAAGACCCAGCCACGTTTCATCTTCAATGCCCTTGCTGATGGAAGGAGGTTTGCACTCAAAATCTCATGATACATGGCCCCATTCATTCTGTCCTGTACATGGATCAGTCGTCCTGGGCCCTTTGCGGAGAAACAGCCCCAAAGCATGATGTTGCCACCCCCCATGCTTCACAGTAGGTATGGTGTTCTTTGGATGCAACTCAACATTCTCTCTCCTCCAAACACGAGTTGTGTTTCTACCAAACAGTTCTATTTTGGTTTCATCTGACCATATGACATTCTCCCAATCCTCTTCTGGATCATCCAAATGCTCTCTAGCAAACTTCAGACGGGCCCGGACATGTACTGGCTTAAGCAGGGGGACACGTCTGGCACTGCAGGATCTGAGTCCCTGGCGGCGTAGTGTGTTACTGATGGTAGCCTTTGTTACGTTGGTCCCAGCTCTCTGCAGGTCATTCACTAGGTCCCCCCGTGTGGTCCTGGGATTTTTGCTCACCGTTCTTGTGACCATTTTGACCCCACGGGGTGAGATCTTGCGTGGAGTCCCAGATCGAGGGAGATTATCAGTGGTCTTGTATGTCTTCCATTTTCTAATTATTGCTCCCACAGTTGATTTGTTCACACCAAGCTGCTTGCCTATTGCAGATTCAGTCTTCCCAGCCTGGTGCAGGTCTACAATTGTGTTTCTGGTGTCCTTCGTCAGCTCTTTGGTCTTCACCATAGTGGAGTTTGGAGTGTGACTGTTTGAGGTTGTGGACAGGTGTCTTTTATACTGATAACAAGTTCAAACAGGTGCCATTGATACAGGTAATGAGTGCAGGACAGAGGAGCCTCTTAAAGAAGAAGGTACAGGTCTGTGAGAGCCAGAAATCTTGCTTGTTTGTAGGTGACCAAATACTTATTTTCCAGCATAATTTGCAAATAAATTCTTTCCAAATCAGCCAATGTGATTGTCTGGATTTGTTTTCTCATTTTGTCTCTCATAGTTGAGGTCTACCTATGATGCCAATTACAGGCCTCTCTCATCTTTGTAAGTGGGAGAACTTGCACAATTGGTGGCTGACTAAATACTTTTTTGCCCCACTGTAACTATAACACACTTGAGATCAGGATATGAAATTTATACTAAAGAGATGCCATATTCATAATAAATAGCTGCCATTAACTGTTATAGATTTTATTCCCTATATGCAATTTATCTTCTGCCTATACTATATTAAAAAGAAACCTCCCCCTTTCTCTCTCTCTCTCCCCCCTCCCTCTCCCCCTCTCTCTCCCCCCTCCCCCTCTCCCCCTCTCTCTCCCCCTCTCTCTCCCCCCTCCCTCTCCCCCTCTCTCCTCCCCCTCTCCCTCCCTCCCTCTCTCTCTCTCTCTCCCTCCCTGCCTCTCTCTCTCTCCTCTCTCTCTCTCCTCTCTCTCTCTCCCTCTCTCCTCCCCCCTCTCTCCCCCTCTCTCTCCCCCCCCCCCTCTCTCTCTCTCTCCACCTTTCTCTCCCCCTTTCTCTCTCTCTCTCTCTCTCTCTCTCTCTCCCCCTTTCTCTCCCCCTTTTCTCCCCCCCCCCTTTCTCTCTCTCCTCCTTTCTCTCTCTCTCGCTCTCTTCCTCCCTCCCCCCCCCTCTCTCTTCCTTCCTCCCTCCCTCTCTCTTCTCTCCCCCTCAATCTCCCCCCCCCCCCCCCATCTCTCCCCCCCCCCCAATCTCTCTCATCTCTCTCTCTCTCCCCCTCCCTCTCACCATTTTCACCATTTGAGTGTGTGTTTATATGTTTGTGTGTGTATATATATATTTATATATAGTTGCTGGTGTTTTGTAAATGATTATCATTCTTTTCTTTTGTTTTTTGTTTTTTTTTTTCAGTTGGAAGACGAAGATTGGGAAAACTGGGAATAATTAGTGGAGAGAGATCACTGCTTATTCATCATGATTACAAGGGATAAGTCTAAATCTTTCACCTCTGCCCATCATCTACCTGTCAGTCTCCCAGATGCAACATGTTCCTTTGACCCACACTCAGCTCATGAACAGGAAAGACCAAATGTATCATCTGGATTGCACTGGCATGGCAGGGGTTTTCTAGGACAAGGCTGATTTCTTATTCTGTTCTCCTTATCCTTTTGCTGCCAGAGCCCCACAGTTCTATGTAAATTTAAGGAAGCCAATTCCTGTATGACCTGTTCCTTGCTATCTGGGTGTGATTGCTTTGCAGTCACTGTGTCTTTTTGCAGGGCTGCATTGTAACTGCTTTTTTTTTTTTTTTGTACAGTTTTAGATGCGTACATCGATGCAAGAAGTAGGCGACGTTCTAGTCACTAACGTGGCCATATATAGTCTGTCCTGCTGCCCAAAATGGCTGATTATGGTGCAGGTGTAATTTGCATTAAGAATTTTGTCACAGTGCTGGGTAAGCTTAAGGTAACTTATGCAACAGTATGCAGAACAGGTGTCTATGCAGATGAGTGCACGTGTGTTCTACCATAGCAGTGTAAGTGGAAGCTGTTCAGTCCTTTTTTAATTCACGCTGACCTCTATAGGGAACATAACAGGTAGTTCACAATCAGCGCCAAGCGGAAAGCAATAGAACATATCATGCCTTCAGTTTGATGCTGATTCTAAATGCTTACCTACACAATCTATCATAGTCCTTGTAAGGAGATCTGTCCATTCTGCTCCAAAGTGATCTGAACCCCAACAAAGCAGACGTTCAGAAGGTTCACATATATACACACCATAATGTAGAGCAGAACACCTAGGTTTCCTAACTGGCCTTCTGCATTCAACATGTTATATTTATGAGGATTGTCTGGACAGAGGTAACTGTTGACTCTAACCAGGACCAGTGTGTGTCCTCAAACTGTGACCTGTTGGGAGTCCATATGAGTAGTTCTGAGATGGTAGCTGGATCTTTTAAAGGATATTGCCATTTTAAAATATAAGTCCTGCTTTAGAGCCCCACCACCATGGTGACCATTTGTTATATAGTATATATTTACCTAAACCATGTGTCTCCGGTGATCGTTATGGTGCATTTTTCATCTATTTAGGTGGAAGTCTCTCAGTGTTTGAAGGAAGGCATTTTATTGAAATGAATTAAAACTGGCATGTATTAGCAGAGGATGTAGTGACCAAATGGATATAGTATAAATAAAGTCATGCAGCCACAGAAAGCTGCATGGTGAAGATTACATGAAACTTTAATTTTAGGTAAAGTATATATCCTGTTTAGTAAATGTCACCACAGAGACATAGAGCAAATTCTGCATGGACCCCAGTTAAAAGACACCTGTCATGAGAGAAATACATGCACTGTCATTGTCTATCTCCTGAAAACGCTAGTTGTCGAGCTCTGAATTTATTAGGTTGTGCCACTGACCCAGAATAGCATACCTTTTCCAATTCAGTAAGCTTTGAAGCGAGAGGGTCAGTGTGATAGCCATGTAATTAGCATTTTTAGAATTAGAAATGGTGGCCCTTGAAGTTCTGTCCTAACATGTTTTGTTTAAGGACCCTTCCATATACCATCATGGAGGAGTTCTTAACCTACACTGTTCTGGGACACGATCAATGGGGATTTCATCTGCAGTGTGGGTCTTCTGTTTGATTGACACTTTTTATGCTAAGGTCAAATTATATCTCCAAAGAAATATAAACACAAGGAGACTCACATTCTGCTGCTTCTAAGGGTTGCCATAGGCTGGGAGTCTTTCATGTTACTTTACAAGGAGGGTGCGAAATATGGGTCTATTTTCTTTTTTTTTTTTTTGTTTAAATTGGAAACCCCCTTTCTTTTTCATGCAAGTCAGATCTGTTCTGCATCATGCTGTGAGAGCCATTTTCTCAATTATTATAATGTATGTTGGCTCTTTATTAGGTTTTGCTCTCTCTCTTATTTACTAACCCATCCTTCATTCCTGTCAGTTGTGTGTGTGCAATATATATTATCTATTTAAGTTGTGTGGCAGCAAGGAGGATGAGAGAGGCAGCAGTTTGGGGGAAGAAAAACCTCACATTAAATCATAAATGCTTTCTTTTCTCTTTTATAACTATGTTCTTCTGGACCTTTACAAATTTTGCACTTGGCTGCTATGAAAGAAATGGTGGCATGATCTCTTAATTCTCCTTGTGTATACTGCATAGACATCCAACAAAAAATGCTCTTTATTTTATAGGTAATAAATTACGTTCTGCAACCCTAATATCTGTATGTGATACTTTTATTGATTTTTGTTCATTATACCTAGCTAATTTAGATATATATGAATATCAATGTGTAGAATGGTGCACATTTAATGTAAACACAGCCCTTTTTATTTTGGGTTTATGACAGCAGATATGAGTGATATGAGGTAACTGGAGTTTCCATTCAAAAATCCTTATTCTTTTCAGAAGAATATTAAAAGAAAGCTTGTACTGAGGAAGCATGGAAACCGTTATTATTGTCTTTTTCTCCTGAAGATACTAGTCTGGCACACCCATGCTCCAGATGTCAATTTTCCAACAATCATGGGGTATTCCATAGAGCAGCTCTGGCGCACTTCCAAAAAAGGTATGGCTTAGGTCATTTTTGGATGAAGATAACATCTTGGCAAAACCAAAGTCCACCAGCTTTACGGTTCCATGATGCAACAATACATTTTCACATCTGAGGTGTCCGTGTGCCACGCCTACATGATGCCGATAATATACAGCTTCTGCCAACTGATGAAAGATTGTTCGGGTGAGATCTTCAGGGAATGCTCCATACAGCCTAAGTGGTGTCCCAACTTTGCTAACTCCATGATCATAGAAATCTTGTTGTTATGCACTGCCTCAATTATCTTGTATATTTTTATGATGTTTTTCGTGATGCAAACAATTCACAATCTGTAGCTCTCGAGGCAGAAATCTACTGGATGAATTCTGAAGAGAAAAAAAGAGTTTATTTCAGTTGCATAAAAGAGGACATTTTTATCAAGCTATGACTAGGAACCTGGCTAGGCCTTAGCATGCCGATGTGGAAATAAAACACTGATTGGCACAGATCAATAGGACTTTTCACAAATCATACAAAATTGTTTTATGCCTGCAGGACAGACAGACCGACCAATAATTCAGTATGTAGATTGTTAATTAGCAGTAAAATTGAGAAAAAAGGAGGTAGCACCAAGGGTTGTCTGATAATACTTCGGGTTCCAGTAATTTAGGTCTTATTTTTTAAATGTCCAGGTGTGGACAGGGGGTGCAGAGTTGAGCTGCAGGCAGTTCTGGATGAGGGTTACAATGGAGAGGGCCGGCTGATGATAGTTGTGAGCTGCAGTCAGGTGTTGCAGGGGTGACTTGACAGGTGAGTTTCAGACAGGGTGCAGATATGAGCCACAGACAGGGTACAGGGGTGAGTTGCAAACATGGGATGCAGAGCTGAGCTATGGCCAGGGGGTGCAGAGCTGAGCTGTGGCTTGGGGGGGGGCTGCAAAGGTGGGTTGCAACTCAGCTCACCTCTTCACACCCCCCCCCCCAGCCGCAGCTCACCTGACTCAATTTACCTCTGCAACACCTGACTGCAGCTCACCTTTGCGGTTCCCTCCCTCCCCCTCCACTGCCCTCATATGGTTAGTTAGCTTTGCAAAACACAGCTGTCAGCAGCCAGACCCTCTCTATAGTAACTCCCGTTTTGGGTCTGCTCTCAACTAGGTCTTATTTTCGGGGTAGGTCTCATACTTTAGCAATTCCCAAAAATAGCACTAGGTCTTATTTTAGGGGAAACAGGGTAGATACGGAGCCAGGGAAAAGCACTGCTCTAAACATTGAGCTTCCTGGATTGATCACGACAGCCATTTACAAAAGCCATAAAAAAAAAGAAGAGGGAGGAAGAAGGGTAGGTGCGTGGGACTAACAGAAAGGGGGGAAAAAGGAAGAGAAGAGAAAAGATTGAAATCAGAATAAGGAGAAGAAGAAAACCAGTCCGTCCGAGAGTCCAGCACACCCCAGTCCAGGAGTCAGTCCCGTCCATCTGGGACCTGTAGGTAAGTGAGCAAAGGGGTCCATATTGTGTCAAATAGGGTTTGCTTGTTATTGGCTGATATTTTAACTACTTGCCCTCCTGAGGATTTACCCCCCTTCCTGACCAGGCCACTCTTTGCTACTCTGCGCTGCACTAATTCAACTGATAATTGCGCGGTCATGCAATGCTGCACCCAAACAAAATCTACATCCTTTTTTTCACACAAATAGAGCTTTCTTTTGCTGGTATTTGATCACCTGTGCGCTTTTTATTTTTCACGCTATAAACAAAAAAAGACCAAAAATTTTGAAGAAAAACAATATTTTTTACTTTTAGCTCTAAAAAATATATAGTAAACTCAAAGTTAGTTATAAATTTAGGCCAAAATGTATTCTGCTACATGTTTTTGGTAAAAAAAAATCCCAGTAAGTGTATATTGATTGCTTTGTGTGAAAGTTATAGCGTCTACAAACTGTGGTATAGATACTGCAATTTACAGCATTTTTTTTTTTGCTGTACAGCGCTGCGCTAGTTTAACGGACAATTGCGCGGGCATGCAATACGGTACATAAATGAAATTTATTTCCTTTTTTTTTCACACAAATAGAGCTTTCTTTTGGTGGTGTTTGATCACCTGTGCACTTTTTATTTTTGGCGCTATAACCAGAAAAAATTTTGAAGACAAAAAAAATGTTTTGAAAAAATTTTCTCATTTCGGTCATAAAAAATATCCAAAAAAACTAAAATTTCGTCATAAATTTAGGCCAAAATGTATTTTGCTACATGTTTTTGGTTAAAAAAAATCCCAGTAAGTGTATATTGATTGCTTTGTGTGAAAGTTGTAGCGTCTACAAACTATGGTATAGATAATTGAATTTACACAGCTTTTACTTTCTGACTGCCCATCACATTT